GTCAGGTTTGTTGGTAACGCAGGGTTTATTCCAGCATCTGGCATTCCAGGACAACAGGACAACTAGAGTAGCACGGTCATCTGAGTGCGGGAAAACAGCATGCTCTGTCTTGTGGCAAATCCTCCGTAGCTTTTAGGATTACCCATTAAGTTTACTTCTTGAAAATCTATACTCTGTACAACTAGGCTACAATATACAGTGATGTCATAGTGGGTTTAAATTCATGTTAAACAAAATAAATGTAAACGAAAACTAAACAAAATCATAATCTATACAGGATTTCTTACACTGGCTGTTTACCTTTTTTTTTAGTATTTTTCATTTTTACAATAACAATTATGTAATTCATTTTCCAATACAATACAGGACCAAATAACCATATAAAATACCTCATCTGCATGTTTAAATATTATCCACTCTCTATAGAACGACCTAACATACCTGCATTTCATGACAAAGGACAATAGAGGGTAGAACGGTATCTGTAGTGGACAAACAGCCATGCTCTGTCTGGAAGACGGATCGTGTTATGTAGCTAGCTATTACTGGAAGATTTTTATGCAACAAAACACATAAACCGAATTGTTACTTCATAACAAACATGGCGATTTTACTCTATGACAATTATATCCACTCATAAAGCCAGTTTACTTTTATGTGCTTTTACAAATTAGTACTTGTTTTGTCCACGGCTTACACAGACACGTACCCTTGTGGCAAATCCTCTGTAGCTTTGAGGCATTACCGCATGAATCGGATTCTCCACAATTCAATCGTTCACTATATTTTACGAAAACGATCAACAACAAAGTATAACGTTAATTCATTCTGACTTACCGGTAGCATGGTAAACGAGTAAAAGAGAGAAGGAAAAAAACCTCTGAAGTGATCATGACTGTTTGAGGGGTGAATGTTATTATGGGTTGAAATCGGTTAGTTTACGTTTACGTAAGCACGCGTAACGTGTTTTATAGGAACAAAAAAATCATTGTTAAATAGGGGTACAGCATGACTGACGATAAAATCTTAAAGGGTTAAAAAAAAAAGTCATCTACTTGGATAGACATGGGTAGCCATCATGCGCACACAAACACTTTTTTAAAAGTAGCCTATACTTTCTAAACCCATACAAGACATATTGGTGGAAATAGGCGCAGATCACTGTTCACCAACATAATGATGAAATGGTTCCTTGAAGTGTGTTTCTCTAAAAACATTTTCTGCTTTGTATTGCTATTGTTCTTGTTAAGTGCTAATGCAGTTTGTAATGACTTATGTGTCCCTTAGGATTAGAAATGTTCCATACCGTGTAGTCTAATCAGGCACACATGGTCATAGACACACCCATATTGTGACTGAATGTGCTCTGTTCTGTTACACATATAGAGACTGATGAGATAAAACGTCATGCAGGACATGTCAAATTGCAGTACACATTTATTTTATGACGACTTTCCTGTCCTGCAGGTCATTGTGCCGTCAGCCATCACTGCTGTTTATAACAGCTCGCTTTTTGTTTACTTTTGTTTACACCAAACTCAAGATTTGATTTACTGCTACAATGTGTGTGTGTGTGTGTGTGTGTGAAATACAGGAAATATGGTGTGATTATACTGTGCCGTTGGTGTGTATTGCACTGTAATCTGGGCCACAGTTCACTAGTTCACACACTAACAGCTTGTTGTTGTCTATCCCAGACACCCGGATTTAAGATTTTTCTTGTTTACTCTGAAACATAAGCAGTACGTGGACAAATATTTGTCTCTGCAGGGCTCATGTGATCAACATATGCAGTCAGAGGCCTCAGATCTGAGTAGTAGTGAAGGTTTGGTAGTTTTTGGCACATGTGCAGGCAATGTTAGAGATTTAAAGGAAGATACTGAGTTTGGCTGCCTGAGATCAACTGAGGGGCCTGCACAACAAAAGTCAGGTTAGTGGTTCTCAGCCTTTTTCCTTAAGGGACCCTTTAAGGTATCATTTATTAAATTGACGACCCCTGCTTAAGTGACATATTTTCTGGATATT